CCCCCCCCCGCACCGGCGGGGCCCGCCGCTCGCTCTGCGGAGACGGCAGGCTAGGCACGTGCCACCAGCTCCCGGGGGCCATCCAGCGTGGGCCCTGCTGGCAGCGCCCCCGGGCACTGGGCAGGGACTAGGGGACAGCCCCGAACACACCAGCCGGAGCATCAGCAGCTGCAGGTTAAACCGGGGCCTGGGAGTGAGTCTCCTTCCCTCGGCAGAGGTGCAGCCTGGCTGCTTCAGCCCTGTCAGGGCTGTCTGCCGTGGCTGGGGGGGGTCCCTTTCCCACAGGCACTAGGGAACCGAGACCCAGCACACTTGTACCTACAGGGATCCTTGTACAGGACTCCTTGTACCTACAGGGATCACTCCCAAGGACCCAGAACCCAGGGCAGCAACAGGCAGGACAGACACACAGACATGGTCAAGGGACCAGCAGCTCGCAGAGGCACAGCAACCCCAGGGCAGCATGGAGACTGCCAAAGGATGAGGGTCCATCGCCCCAGCGCTGGCCCCGCCGACAGCATGAGCTTCCAGGCCTCATCCTGCCCCGAGATCACTGGGGCCCATTTGCCTCCAGGCCTGTACCCAAGGGCTGCTGAGAGCAATGCACCAGCGAGTGCTGCGTTAACGTGAACATGACGGTTATAAACTCACCTCTGCCTTGAAGTTTTCTAGTTCCTCCTTCAGGGCACCGATCTCCCTGTAAAGCTGTTCAATTAACCAGTCCCTGGGAAGGAGAGAGAGATTGCATGCCTCCTCTGTGCTCCTGCCTACCACCACGGAGGTGTAGAGATGAGGAGAGAATAACACTGCAGTGTCGCCATATCCACTGGGGACGGCTGAGCCAAGCCCTGTGCGCCTGTTCCCCACAGAAGACTGTGGCTTGGGGACAAGCACTGAAGACTGTCTGCATCCTTCAAAGCTCTTTGCATACAAAAACTGCCAGCTTACCTTAGAAGCAGGATGGGGATGTGACAGAGGCCTACGAACAATGCAGAGCCCCAAGAGAAAACCAGGCCCTTTGGCCCCTCTCCCCCGTAACAGAAGAGCAAGAAACATGTATGGAGATCCTGAGATTGGTTTGGATCTCGCCATGGGGTGGGTCTCTGAGATGGCCTGATGGTGCTTGCCAGCATGGTGGGTACGTGCCTTGGGAGAGGAGATCTCTCCTTAGGCACGAGGGCTGGGAGCGTGCGGCAGCCACCCCGTGGCAGATTTGCATGCATCTGCTCCCGCCACGCAATGTAGAGCTCTGGATCCACTCCAGGCCTTTTCTGCCGCCCACGGTATCGCAGAGCCACAGGCTTTGGCTCTTGGCTCAAAGGTGCTCTCCGGAGCGGACTCCGGATAAACTGCCTCCTGGGAGGGAGACCCAGGCAGGAACAGCACACCTGAGCGTGACGCCCTGCAGGAGAGGAGAAGCCATGGAGGCTCAGGGAGAACTCACTTGTCATCCTTGTTCATCCCGTTCTGACTGTTGAAGTTGAAAGGATCGCTGCTGAAAGAACTGCCAAAGATGTCATCAAACTTATTGTCAAACAGACTCTGAGGGGAGAGAAACGCAGAGCCAGTGAGTCAACCCAACCCTGCTTGAAGCACCCCAAGGAAGGATGCATGGAGCCCCGGGTCCCCCGGCTTTCCCAGATGGAGTGCAAGCCCTCAGCGGAGTGGTGAACGTAGGAGGGTGCTAAGGCCTACAGAGCCAACCCTTGGCAATGCTTGGACCTGCCTGCTACATGCTGCTACTTGACGTCTGCCATTAGAGCTGGTGCCTCCTTGTGTCACCTGGACACCTGGGGTAGCTTCTACAGGACTGAATCTCCCTGCTGCTCAGCAGCGTGCAGCCTCACTGATGGGTGTCCAATGCAGAAAACCACACCCCCATGTTTAACGTGAGACATCTGTGGTCTGCTCCCAACTAACTCCTGGGGAAGGAGATCCCCAATGCCATTTCACTGCACACCGGTTTCCCTCCCGAAACACCGAACAGCCAGGGAAAGCCACTGTGAGGATCGCCTCTCCCAGCCATGATGACATCCAGCTCTGGCCCTTAGGAAGGAGGCCTAGTGCAAGCCCATAGAGCTTCAGGGCAATTCTGGGAAGTAAATGTATACAGCCAGTCATCACTGGAGGGCACCAAACTGTTAAGAGAAGCATCATGGCATCACTTCAGCCTCACCAGATTATGCAATGCTCCCAGGAGCCCTGTGGGCGCTCACCCTCTGGGAACACACAGTGCCAACATGGCCCTCTGCACAGAGGCTCCTTAACACCTGTCATGCCTGCAGGCTCCAGGCCTTCGCGGCTTTCTGCTTGCTAAGATCCAACCAAACCACAGCTTGGAGAGACAACCCTGGATGCAGTCTGGCTGGCGGACTTGAACCTTTTCACAGCAAGAGAGGCAGAGGGCGGCTGGGAGAGCCCAGAGGAGGCTCCTGGCGGCTCACCTGTGATGCCGTGTCCATCTCCACTAGATCAGTGATGGGCTCGCTGTCTGGGGAAGATGCCTCAGCAGGGATGACCACCACGGGGCTGATGTGCTCCGACAGAGCCGAGGCTCGCAGGAAATTGGGAGGGTTCTGGGGAGGGAGGAGAGCGCGGCTAGGCAGTGCGAAGACCTGCCCCTCTGCAGGACTTCAGACATGGCTGGCCTGAATCCAGCCCCACCAGCACTCCCACAGCTGGCTAGGAAGGAGCCCGAGCAGGCCTGTGGTTTGGTGCGGTGGGAGCTGTGCTCCGCTCTGGCTGCTGTGCCTGCGGCATGCACCAGAAACACAGCTCGTATCCCCTTGGCTGACATATCGTGGGCCCAGCCCTCCGCTCTGTGGATGCCTGGTTAGGGCTGGGCTCAGCACTGAGGTGTGTTTCCAGAACAAAATAGGTCTTAAATCTGCTACAGCCAGGGTGCAAGGGGCTGTTGCTGCTGCAGGCCAGCTCTGCAGGCAGTTCTGGCTCCAGGAGGTAGAGCTGGAGGCGGACATGGAGCGGCATCACGCCACAGGCTTGTCGTAGGAGCTGAGCATTACGTTTACATTTTGGAAAGTCATTTGGCTCCTCACACCTCCCAGTTCTGCTGCCATGAGAAGGGATCCCGGACCACAGCCCCAGGCAGGGACAGCAGCAGCCAGAGGAATGTTTCCTTCCCAAAGGGTCAGACCCAAAGAGGGGTCTGCAGGATGAGCCTCACACCACGCTTTGCTCTTGGCTGTTCTCAGGAGCCAGATAAACTCCTCTGGGAAGCAAACAGGCAGACTGGCTGCTGGCCAGTGCAACCGGGCCGTGCAACCTGGGTAGGCAGAAAGTAGCTGAAGGAAGCTCCCACGCTTGCAGGAGCGGCGCGCCAGCTCCGGTGAGCTGCGGGTGCTGATGCCGGCCCCGACCTGTCCAGCTCCGACTGCGAGGCTGTGCACACTGTGCCTTTCCGCTACCTCTGCGGACTGGAGGCTCTTACAGCACGTCTGGGCTCTGATCAGCTCTGGCCACAGAACTGCACAGCGAGTCCTGAGTTTCCCCCAGCACCAGCAAGGGGAGCACGCGACCGACCGCCCCTGCTGCAAACCCTGGCTGCGGGAATGGCGAGCGCTACTTGTGCCCAGGGTGGACCAGAAGTCGTGTGGTTCTCACCTCTGGAAGCTGTGGGATCTGAATCAGCCGCTTGAAGTACTGTAGGTTACTGGATCGATAGAACAGGTCCTTCAGCCTGAAAGGAGAAGGGCAGAGGCTGGTAAGGAAGGTTCTCCGTGTGCCGTGGCCCCACTTTCTCACGCATCCCCCCATGGGTAGCTCCTCTGCACGCCTCCTCCAACCCCTCGCCTGGCTCCAGAGCAGCATCACTGTTGCTGCTCTGTGCTGGAGGGGACGGTGGTGCGTGCGGCCATCAAACCCATGGCAAGCCCTGGGAAGGCCCCCCAAACCCCAGCCTCTCACCTCTTGCTCCATCTGAGAAGCAAACTCTGCCAAATATTGAACCCCAGAGGCCTTCTCCCGTAAACCCCAAAAGGAAGGGACCCGAAGAGCAGAGAAAAGGACCCAAAACTAAGAATCAGAGTGGCTGCACTGGATCAGACCAGAGGTCCAACCACCTCTCTGTCCTGTCCCTGAAGTGCCCAAAACTGGATGTCTGAGGGGACAGCTGAAAAACAGCGCTGCTCGCATTATACTCCCAGCAATCAGCAGGTCAGGGCTTCCAGCCTGGGAGCTACATCTACATCACCACATTTAATTCTCTGCGTGGGCATCTCTCCCATGAGTAGGCCTACCTTCTTTCTTGAGCGACTTCCAATTTTGGCATCAAGAGTATCCTGTGCCAAAAAGTACTCTCCGCTGTTTATTTTAAGCCTGCTGCCAGATCATTTCCTTTGGCACCTTGGCTTTTGTGCAGTGACAAAAGCAAATAGTTGTTCCCTCTCTCTTTTCCACTCATTCTGTGATTCTCCATACCTTTACCATAACCCTCAAAGGTCTCCTTTCTCCTTGTCCTCTCCTTGGGCCCTCTGCCCACCCCTTACTCTTCTCTCGGCTGCTTCTGCTCTTGTACCACTCTCTGGGCTGGGGGACCACAGTCATTGCAGGGGAAGCTGTGGCTCCCCAGAGGTGCAGCAGCACTGACATGCTCCCCCAGCTCTCCATTCCCTTCCCACCCTGATGTTTGACTCCACGTGCCAACGTCAGCGAGCTGTTGTTTTCTGAGTGCTGTCCCCATCCGATACAACATCACTGTCCTGGCTGGCCAGACCTCATGCAAAGCCTAGATACGTGCTGACATTGCTGCTAGTCTTTTCCTGGGGGCACTGATTTGCAGGGTTTGACCTTGAATTGAGCTGCCCTATCACTGCACAGTTACTCCGCATTGTGACATCTTCCCGCTGTTCTCTGTGGTCACTTTTTGTTTCAACTGCCCTCAGTAATTGTGTATCAGAGGCCGCGGTGTTTCACTACTCACTCTTGTTTTCCCTCATTTAAAATAACACTCAACAACACGAGTTCCAGCACAGTCACCTGAGGATTCCCTGAGAAACTCAGGGAATCATCTGTCACTTAAGTCCAGCACTTTGTCTCCTGTCTTTTGAGCAGTTACTAATCCAAGAGAGACCTGCCCTCACATGCCAGGACAGCTTAATTTCTTTTGGAAACAAACTCCTTCCCTATATCATCTGTATTGCTCTGCATGTGCTTACACATTCCTTCCAAGGACTCTAATAAACCCTGACTCACAAATTCACCACATAGCAATGCTCACACCATCCCATTCTACCATTTTATAAAAATCGTCCTTGTTTAACCAGGGTGCCAAGTCCCAGGTCAGCCTCACTGGTGCCTTCCTCCCCTTTCCCTCTCTCACCAGGGCCCTTTATAAAGAACAGCATCATTTCAAATATTTTGCAGTTCTCTGGCACTAAGATACCTAGGCAATTTTCCAGCAACATGTTACAGCCACTCCCTCACGTGTGAGTTTCTGGATAACTGCATGAATGTGACTTGCTTCTGCCTATCTGTTCCTACCCCTTTTATCTGTTTCTTTTAAAATCTCTGCTATTGATACTTCAGTTTGGGACAGTTCCTCAGACATCTCCTCCCTCATGGCAGTCCCCCGGCTCCAGCCCAGGGGCCACTGGTGCTATGAGGGCCTTTAGCTTTTCTGTTCCCAATTTGTCTTCCACAAGCATTTCCCTTGAACTGCTGTGATCCAACAGCCCCTGGTTTATGTGAAAAAGCACTGCTCACTCTGTGCTCGAAACAAGTGCTCCTCAGGATCTCTTTCTGAGTTGCCTTATTATGATTTTAGATTTTTTATGCCAGGCTCAGTACTAGCCTCCGTGCTCCTCAATTGGGCATGCTGTACCTGCTCTGAAGGATGGCTTTTCCCTCCTCTAAGGCATCCCTGCTCTGCTGCCTAACCCTGCAGCTTCCCTGACACACAGGGAAGCGTCTTTTCTAGTGTCTTCGCATAGACAACGCACTGAGCATTGCTGCCCACCACTGCATGTTATCCGGTCTCCACGGCACCTGCAGGCCTTGCAACAAGCTTTCTCAGTTTTGTACAATTTGCCTTTTTTGAAATGAAACACTACTCAGGGAAATCTCTTCCCTTCTCCACGCCCACAAAGGCAATGGCCTTGACTGCACTATGGGGCACACACAGTCTCTCCATTAATAGCATTTCCAACCGTGTCCTGTCGCTGCTCAAAAGACAGCCACTCTGGAAAAAAAGCAGGATTCAGGTCTTTCCTCTGTGCTCCTGCCTTCCTTGAAAGCCCAACTGGGTTTCTGCCGTATGAACAAGTCACCCCAGCACTTCTTGAAATGCACTTCAGCTGTGTCCTTCTGCCAGCAGAGCAGATGCCCACAATCCCCAGAGCAGCGGGAGCTGGGTCATCTGCAGGCAGAAAATGCTGCTAGAGGGTAGCTGCCAAAGGCGTGACAGTCTGCTGTGCTGAATACCCTGTCCACCCCGAACGCACGCTCCCCTGGGACGTCACCAAGCCTCCCTGCCAGCCACCTGCAGCGCTCAGCTTCGCAGCCCCTGTTAAACACGCATTTTCTTTATGCAGCAAAGCTTCTGTGCTAAACGGATCAAACACTTCCAGCAAAGTCAGGAAGGGCAGGACTGGGCCCTCAGCAACGCCTGAGAGCCTTTCATCTCAGCACGCCAACTGCACTTAGCAGTTAAAACTGCAATTAAACGGTTTGAGGATTTCAAATCATCAGCTAGCATTTCATATCAAATGCCATTAGCGGCTGAATGCCTCTTTAGAATTAATAACATAGCTATCATCTAGTAATTCAATAGCAGTGGATTAGTGAAACAAAGCGGGTGTCTTGGAGAAACCAGCCCTGCTCTAGGAAAGCTGTTTTTGAGCAAAGGCAGAGAAGTCAGACCGGGTTGACTTCTGAGCCACAAGCCAAAATTCTGCATTTCATCTGCCTCCATTGCTCGGCTGCTGAGCCCAATTATAAAGGGCTCCGGCGGCTCACTCAGCCTGCAACTGGGACTGAACGGAGCTCCGAGTCATTCCTTCCGATGTGAACTCTGTAGGCAGAGCATCACCTACAAATGAACCGCGGGCAAGAGCTAGCACTTGTCCATCCAGGCACTTACTTTCTGAACTGCTCCAGGAAGCGGTCCCTGTGGCCCTGCAGTGTATCAGCCGGGAGACCTGGAAGACGAAGCAAATGTAAACCTCACCTCCCCGGGAACATGCACGGATCAAGACAGTGCATCTGCATGGCCATACCAGGATGGGTCCTTCCAGGGATGGTCACCCTTCTCCTGGGGTTTGAATGCTCCAGGCTCAGCCTCTCGCTGCAGGACAGGCTACAGTGCGGGATTACATTGCCTCAGATGTCCCCAGCGCCCTGGAGAGGATGCTTTTCTGGGGTGGTGGGGGATCAGGGGCTGGGAAAGGTTGCAAGCTGGCATTCAGGCAGCTGCTGTCTCTACAAGGTGCTGAGGAGAAGCAGCTTTCTCATGCAACGCACTGTTGTTAGTCCAACCTCTCCACAGTCAAAGTCACTGCAAGGCTGGATGTGTGATTCGGGACTAAAAGGGGAACGTGAAGGACTAAGGACTCTGAGATTGCTGGGTGGCACCAGTGGCTGGGTTCTCCCACCCCAAGGCTGCTGGGGCTTCTCCTCACATGCGACAGTCTCCAGGACTGAGGCGTGTTCAGTGGGGCAGGCCTGGCTGGTGCAAAGGAGCCCACAGCGCACACAAAGCTAACGTGGAATGGAGCGTGCCTGGCATGGGAGGGTTTGGTCTGGAAGAGCACTCCTGGAAGAGGTCTGCCCCTTGTCCCTGTCCATCACTTGTGCCTCCTTGGCCCTTGCAGAGAGCTCTGGTGACTCCTTTCACGGAAGAGGTTGGGAAGGAGTTTAGGGAGGTGACAGGCACAACTTGGGCAAGGAACGGTGAGCCCCAGCAGCAGCCTGGCATAGAGGGCAGGTGCTCAGGTGCCACCAAACTGCTGGCTAGGCTGCTCCTGTGCAGGACAGCCAGGCGAGCTGTACTGCAGCTAGCAGGCATTTGCCTGTGGGCCTGGAAACGCTCCATGCACAGCGTGCTCTGCTCCCCGCAGCCCCACCACCCCTCTCTGTGCTGGCCTGTGCTTGCCAGCCCAGGGTCCTGGGCCGCAGTGGGGCTCTAGGCTGTGCTCAGATACAGTAGAGAGGTGCTCCCGAGACACAGGTGGGGGTCCAGCCCAGCCAGACCTCCTGCCTATGATGGCAAGCCTTTGGCTCACGCTACCAAGTGCTGGGAGCCACAGGACTGCAGAGAAAGGGTGGTTTGCTGTGAGAGGAGCAGCACAGCACAGCATCCACCTTCACGGAGAGCTGCGCCAGGACCTCTCAGCCTGCTGCAGATCACCTGTGGTCTAGCCCAGCAATTAGGAACAGATGACAGACCTTGGAGGTGGCAGCCCTGGGAATACTTACAGGAGTGGAGTTTGAAGAGGAGCTTGACAGTGTAGTCATAGAGGTGGCTGCAGTCCAATATCACCTGGATCAGCGGGGCCAGGCGGCACTGGCCTGCAGCAGTGACTGACACAGAGCGTGACATGTCCAGGGAGTTGAACACTACCGGAAAAAAGCCAAGATGGTGCTTAGGCCCCTGTTCCAGGGGACTCATGGAAACTGTCACCCCCTGCATGGCAGGTCACAGGGTATTACATGATTCCTGCACAGCCAGTTCGCACTGGCAGGCATGGGCGTGAGTGAGTCTGTGACATCCCCTTCCCATCCACAGTGCCTGGAGGACATAGGCTTTGTTCTTGGCCTGCAAACACCCCTTGGCAAGTCTCAGCACATGCCACCATTCGCAGCTCTGCTATGGAAACCTGTGCTGGGGAGACTCCACCTGCCACGTGATGCGGGCAGGCTGTCGAAGTCAGGATTTGCTTGATCCAAGGGAGACAAGCAGCTCCGAGCTAATGGTCTAAACCACGGCATGGTCTAACCAGCGCACACCACGGGCACGGAGAGGGGAGGAACCGGGAGCAGCACAGCAGTGGTGGGCTGCACGTGCACTGTGCTCCTCCTTTCACAGTCTCTCCAGGCCCTGCATCCCCACCGACGTAGCCTTCTCACTCCTTTGGGAGGCAGTTTCTCCAGCTGGGGCTCGGCCCCCAGGAAGCTGTGCCAGCATAAAGCAGCTCTGAGGGCTCTCCATCTGCACTGTGGGCTAACGGACTGCCAGCTGCTTTGCATCAACCACTTGTGCCCTGGCCCTGGCTGTAGCTCTGCACCTCCTGAGGATTCACTAGGTCCCTGGGGCAGAACTCCATGTCTCCTGAACAGCCTGGTACCCTGCCTACCACCCTGGGCGCTGCCTGCCAATGCCATGCCCGGCCCCTGCGCTTCAGAGGAAAAGGATGAAAACCTAACACAGATAACGCAGGGATATTGATGCTTTTGCCAGCAACCAGCTGAAACCCTGAAGGATGGCACTACTGTGATACAAATACTGGGCAAACAGGCAGGAGCGGCAGGGAGCTTGGGCCGTGCTCCAGCCCTTGGGTGGCTGCAAACTGCCCATTTTGGCAGATGAGGTCAGGAGCAGGAAGTTCGACACCCCTCACTACTGACCCGGGGCAGAATGATGTCCCTGTGCAGCTCACAGCAGGGAGGCAACCCTGAGCCACAGCTCTCCTTTCCCTGCTCTGAGGGCTGCGCGGCACGGCTGCCCTGCCGTCATGCCCAGCTATTTCCAGGCAGCACAGCCGTTCGGGTCTCTCTGCTGGGCACCAGGCTCCTAGAGATGTGCGCACGGAAAGCCAGATGCAGCCAGAGACTCCAGAAACATCCAGAAACAAAGGACACACTTTTGTGTTTGTGATCCTCTGCAGCGAGAGGAGAACGTGGAGACTGCGCTAAGACACACATGAGCATCCCCTGTAACTGCCAGCAGGTTGCAGGGCTCCTTACCACACTCCTTGGCCATTTGAGGCACGTTTTACATGTCAGAGTTAAGTCTGGGGTGTCGTAAAGGGTAGGCCAAACTATTCTTCCTGAGCAAGTGAGTCTGCATGTGACCTGACGCATTTATACAGGGCACTAACAAAGCTGTTCCCAAAGAGTTTAGCAAGGTATGGGTACGAAGACCACTTCAGGCAGGAGCTGGAGGCTACAAGAGCGAGATGCGCAGCCCCCCCATCCTCCAGTTTCCACGTTACATCTGCTCATGCGGATTGAAACAGAGATCAGCCATGCCTAGAGGAACAGCACAGGAAGTACAGGAAGCGCAACACAGGTGCTGCAAATGGCATCATGGCCTGGGCTCCCTTGTCTCCCCAAAAGGCCGGCGCAAGGGAGCCCCCCCATGAGCTCATGGCTCCTGCCCTGTGAAAGAAAGCCCTGAAGGGGTTTCCTGCCCTGAACCAGCTGCACAGGCCGGGGTCCCTGGCAGTCTAGCAAGGCTATGGGGGAAGAGGGCAGCTTCATCTCTCTCCATCCAGCAAGCCCTTCCCTGGAAGCGCAGCAGTGATAGCTCCTGAAAGTACTCCTGGGACCAGGGCTGCATGGCATGGACCAGCCCTTCAAGCACCGGCCCTGCTGAGCGAGCTCACGCACTGCTGCCCCACTTCTCCTGTGAGCAGCCTTGAGATGAAGGCCCTGTTCCAGCTCCGTAAAAACACATCCCTGTACTACAAAGCCAGTCAAATTAACCCTCTTGCCTCAGACAAAAGCATCCAGGAACCTCCATGCCACGACACATTTCCACTTCTGCTTCAAGGCTATCACACGCCCCTGCTATATTGTAGTGCCAGCGCTCAAGGCCTTGTAAACCCAACAAATGAAGGACTGCTCTGGTATTGCTTTAATTTGTCCAAAACCCAACCCTGCGACTGCATACAGAAGTGCATTATAACTCATGGCTCCCTAGTCCTGAGAGCTGAGACTCGCGTGTGTTCACCTTTCTGCTTGATTATAGCCTCTATGAGCACGACAGAGAGAGCAGGCAGTATCTGCACTCCTCTAGCAGCTCTGGAACTGCTGTAAAACATCTGGGGGAGCTTATGTCCTCTGTTAATAAAAACCAGAGCCTGTCACAAGCTCGCAAGTAAGAGAACAAAGCCAGCCCAGGGAGAGAGCTGAAGTGAGAGATCAGGAAGACGGGGAAGTGAAACTGGAGGAGCATGGGGAGGAAGCGCAGAGCCGTACAGCACAGCCGGCTCCACGCAGGCTTCCCAGCAATGCTAGAGGGCTCCTAGGGGGAGGCATGAGCCAGGCATAATTCTCTGACATGAAATAATTTTGGCTAATAATAACTCTGGTGAAGTGCACGAAAAACAGATGAGCTCAGACGCCCTCAGACACCTCCCTTCCTGGAGCTTGCGACTCAGCATCACGCACACATCAACACCCCCATGAGCTTCAATCTGGGACAGTGGAGGCAGCTCAGCCTCCTCTGGCGCTGCACCCACCGCCGCTGCAGGGTCTCACGCCGCAACCTCACAGCTACCGCAGGTCACGAAAACAAGAGGCTTACCCGTCTGGAAGAGGTTCAGCTCACACTCCAGATAGTCAAACATCTCCACTGTGAGTTGGAAACTAGGAAAGAGGGAACAAGAACGTTAGAGAGCATCCTCGTGCCCTTGCATAAGCCTCATCTTCCGGCAGGTGTCACCCCAGAGGGACTCGCAGGTGATCCAGCATGGGAGCCCACACTGCCATGGCACCCTATGGGAAGGATATGGCAGCCCTGAACAGCAGCTGTGCTCGGTGAGACACTTCCCAGAGCGCCTGCAGTGTGATCGCCTCAAAGCTTTGCCCACTCCCAATTGCCTGTGGTAGGAAACGGGGAAGAGGGTCCAACGCAGGGCCCCTGTCCCTGGTTCGGACTGGGCGCCAGCAAGGGTGTGCGACACCTTTCCACCAGTGCTTCCTGACATCTAGATTCCTCCCCTCGCCTCCAGGCCCTGGCGTCCCTGCCTTGGAATGCCTCGTTTCTCCTGTCCTGGACTCACAAATTATTGACGTCGTTCTCTCCGGCCTCATCAAGCTGTCGGTCGGACATCTGGAGGTTGCCAGGGAACCTGGGATTCTGCACAAGGAAACAAGAGAAGGTGTCAGGGAAAGGGCTTCTGAGGACTTCCAGTCTGGCCACAGCTCTGTGGCTCCTGGGGCAGTGCTGCTGCCAGGCCAGGAGGGCCAGAATGGCAGCTTACACCCATGGCCATAGGTATAAGAGACAGGGATGGCTCTTCAAATGCCCCCAAGGATGCAGCTCAGGCTGTGGGCCTTCCCACTCCTTGGGCTAAGAACTACTGCACGTTGGCCTCCTCAGCTGGTGGAACGCAGGAGCTGTGGCTGTCTCCCTAACTAGGCCTTGCAAAAGTTTGCAGACTCTTTTGGTGGCAGGCTAAAATCTCATGGCCCGTCACCAGGTCTTCTCCATCCTTGGCAAAGCAACCCTGCAGGCTGCCTTAAAGAGCTTGCGCCACAAAGGTGACAAAACCGTGTCCCTGCAATTTCTGGGCTGCTGCTGAAGCAAGCAGCAGTGAAGGGCAGAGGGACCCCAGCTCTCTCCCACATCATGCCCATGGGCCAGCAGCCTGCCAGCCCAGCACAACACGCTCCTGAGCAGGCACTGTCATCCAGCAAAGCTCAGTTCCTCACCAGGAAAAAAAGTAAAGCTCTGCAAATACCCCTTTCTCCAGGGCAGGGGCTGAAGAGATGGGAAGTGGCTGGCTTCTGCTGCTAGAGGGGAAAAGCCCAAGGCCTTTGGTGAAACAAGAGTGGAGCCTTCATGATCTGCAGACCCCACGCTCTGTCTAGCATGGGCCAATCTCCCTGGGTTTAGAAACCTGCTGAGTAGGAAGGAGACAGCGCCACCAGCCCTCTCGCGGCACCGCTTATCAGTTGGAGGAAAAGGAGATGGGCCCAGAGCCTGCAGAAAGAGGGATGGGGGTGTCCGTCGGCCACACTGATACTGGCCAGCACACGTGGCCAGCGGGGAGAGCCCACAGTGCTGTGCATGCGGCCCATCCATGCTGCATGTGGAGGATGGAAAGGAGCTGGTAACTCTGCTCTGGAAGGTGAAGCTTCTTCATGCTGCCTCCCTCATCAGACTATCCCGGCCAGAGAGTTTTAAAAGAGGTTTAAAGTATTTCTAAAGTGAGAGCCACGCTATGGGGCAATGCGCCTGGCTTCAGAAAGTGCCTTTGAAGGCAGAAGCGTTTGTACTCAATCACATGTGTCCTGGAAGGGAACAGAAAGACCAGACAGGGACAGCTATTGCCCAGGCACTGGGGACCATGGGGGTGGGGTGCCGGAGGGACAGCCCTGGGCCACAGCCCCTCTTGCAGCCCCCAAGCAATGCGGCAGGCTGTCCTGGCAGGGCACGGGGCTCCAGAGCCCCTGCTTAGCTGCTGCCAAAGCCCTCGGCCACCTAAGCCTCGTTCTGCAAAGGGTTTGTGTTGGAGCGGAGCTCGAAAGAAAGAAAACCCCGCAGGTACCAAATCTGCTGCTGCCAATTATCTTAAGGATTAGGGCACTTAAACCCATGCAGGGCAGCGCTTGTGTAAAAGCCCACCATGATTTTTCATTCTGTTCTTAGAGGCAGGCCTTTATTTTTATGCCCCAAGCGTAAGAAAGCGTCCGTCTAAACAATAAACTCCATCGACGCCGCTTCCCAGAACGCACAACAGGACACGCCATGTTGCTCTCTATAAATACACTCCCTATCACCTTTGGCAAACATCACTAACTGAGTTGCAATCAGGCAAGCTGGCTTCAAGCTATGACAGCAGACCTGAAGTTGGCCAAATCTCTGACCACATCCTCCCTGAAACCCAGCCCAGACAAGGGACCTGAACGGCAGCTCTGGTCTGCAGAGTCAAAACAAGTTCCTAACACAAGCAGAGAGATGGAGGAAAAAAAATTTGGGCTGTCCCCTGGCCCCAAGTGCCCAGAAGCACCTTTGGTCCAAGAGCCCAAAGGAAAATGGGATTTCCCAAAGGAAAAAATGGATTTTGAAGTGACAGACATTGATAATTTCAGTTATCAGGCCACAAGCTGGGGACACCACTGGGTGGGACAGGATGGGACATCATGCTGCTGTGCCGACTCCAGTCGGGACAAGGGGCTACCCCTCTCCCAAGCCCTTACGCACCCTCCCCATGTCCGGCAACATTCAATGAGCACAAGTCCTTTTCTGAAGGTTGAATTAAGGGCAATGTATTGCTGAACAGGATTTTCAGAAAGCTGCCAGAAGTGTGACCAACAGATGCTATATTTTTCCTAAAAGACACTCTAAAAATCACACACGGTGGAAGATCCTTGCAAGCCTGCTAGGCCTGTGACGCAGTGCGGGGGAAGGCTGCTGCTCCGGTGATGGGGCTTGCCTGCTCTCTCAGGGATGCAGCGTTTCCCTCTGCTCTGTGCGCCGAGTGATGAAGGTGCTGGGATGGAGGCAGGTAATGCGGAGGCAGAGGCTCTGGGATCATGAAGGCAAAGGCAGCTGTGGGCTGAGCAGGCTTGTCTCGTGCTACCTCATCTTGATTCCTGGCTCATCTCGGAGCACAGGCTGCGCTGACTCAAATCATCCTCATTCACTTGCACGCGAGTCGGAGCAACCTCAAGGTCTTCCTGCTCATCCTTTTTTGTGCATGAACAGGGATACCCCACCAATTTAAATCCTCAGCTTCCCTGCTTGCATTTGGGGTGTGATGGAGAAGCTGGGCTCCACAGTAGGGTTTTTCAGGGGATTTACCCTTCAGCACTACCCTGTGCCCTGCCGGGTCCACAGCCGTCTGCACTGCCTCCTGTCCCACCGTGCCACACGGGCTGGCTTCAGCCCCTGCAGCCAGGCAGGAGATGTCCGAGAGGGCAACAGTGGGGGCTGAGGCTGTGCAGGTTCACAGCTGTATCTCAGCCTTCCGCTCCTTATAGTCCAACACATACTGTCTTCCACCTCTGCCTATCAAGAAGGATATTTGGGCTCCAGCTATACCTCGGGGAGACATACACCCCAAAGCCCAGGATCTCTTGCTGTGACCCCCTTCTTTGTAGTCTCCCAACTTCCAGAGTAAGGAAGACGAACCTAAGTGCCTCTGAGGAGCCAAAATGTCCAAATATGCCATGAAGACAGCTGACCCCAAGGCCTTGCTCCTTGGGCCACTTATCAAGGGGAAGGACAGAGACAATGGCAGTTTGTGTCATTATTTCACGGCGGCAGCATGAGACCCATGATACAGGAAAGGACGCGCTGGGGTAAGGGTGAGAATTACACCGCTCAGATTGCTCTGCCAGCCGCTGTCCTGCTCTGCAGCATTTTCACTGCTTTCTGGCTCTACATACCCAAAATGTAAGCTCTCACAGTAGCCCCTGAGCTGGGCCCAGCTGTGCTCTTAGAGCAGGGCTAAGCCGTGGACCCCCACTCACAGCCCTGTTGCCCATCACTTGGTGTGGTGGTGGCTCAGTGAGGCCTGTCTCTTGGGTCTGGTGCCTGAAAAGCAAGTCTCCTCCTGCTCACAGTCCCAAACCACTGCGAGAAAATAACTGTCCGCAGCCACTGCTCATCCCATGTTTAAGGCCCTGAAATGGTCTCCTTGTGAGCCTGCCACCATGCTTTCAGACATGAAGAAGTCATCAAGAGGCAGTGCAAGGCCCTGGGCGCTCTCTGCTGGGTTGCACCTCCAGCACCACGGCTGTGGGCCTCCGAGTGAATGCAGTGGGGCTCAGTGCCTGTGGCTGTGGTTCAACCGTCCCACGCAAGGCAGGTGTCCCACTGCACCCAGTTACAGCGCCCTGGGGAAAACCAACAACCCTACAACACCTGCCCAGTGGCTGGTTCGCCCAGCAGCAATAAGCATGCTGCGTCCTCCCAGTTGGGCTGTTGAGAGGCTGCTAATCCCAGTTGCAGAGCTCCGGCTGCTGGATGGGCCGGGCTGGGGTCCTGCAGGGACGGGGATGGGGACGGGGACAGGATGGGATGGGATGGAGAACACTCACTTTTGTGTGGAACTCCATCTTTGTTCTCAGCAGTTTGAGGTAGATGCTGCACAGCTGTCCATAGCCCTCGCTCAGGTGACCCTGGGGACACAAGAAAGCGATTCAGACCTGAGGAAGGCTGCACTTTCAAAGAAGCTTTCTCCCCACTGCTGCGGGCACCAGCAATTGCAACTTGCCTGTCTGGACTCCTACAGAGCGTGATTCCCTGCCTGTGCCTCTCCTCCCTCCCCCAGCCCTTTCCTCCCAGGACACAGACTGAACCTCAGCTGCTGTCTGGGCCACCACTACCTGCCATCATCCCAGGTCTCTTTTCTTCGTAAAACACAGAGCAAATACTCCTTGTTGGTATCCCGCTGCCTGCCACATGCACTGAGCAAGAACTGCCTTGTCCTTCAGGCCACGTGCGTGAGCTGGGTAGCATGGCACGTGGGGGATGTCTGCCCAGAGCACATTGGCTGTGGGCTGGCCTACATCTTGGCAGCAAACATGCTGACAGCTTTATATATGGCCTGGAGAAGGGGAGGATGGTAGGAGGATTTAGTCATGACTTTCTGGTCACGCTCTCTTTTACTGCAGGTTTCAATGCTGCCTTTGGCTATCAGAGCAGAAAGAACTGCTCATCACTGTGACGCACCTGGGATGCTTTCAGCACAACATGCAAGATGTTCGAATGAACTCCTAAAGCAAAGGCAACTCACAGATGCCCAAGAGGGCCCTTCGTTTGAGTTCAGGGACCATACTGGGATCCTTGTCCTCATGCAGGGCTGTGCCTGGCTATGTTAGGGGCTCTGCAGGGATGAAGGGGCACAAAGCTCTTAGCGGCACATAAGAGATGAGAGATGTGCACTTGCCTTGCTTCTTTGAAGGCTTTGTAGTTAGCAGCTCTTCCAGCTGAAACCATTTCTGCCAGAGCTGCCCAGCATCCCACAACTCTGCATGGTCTCCTACAGAGACTCACCTCGAGGACATCAGGACCCCTGTGACCCTGGGGTTTTACAAGGTTTTGCCATAGAACAGGGAGAACAAATCTGTGCTTGGAGGATGAGATGGATACTGAGCACTACCTGCAAATCCAGCACAGCGAGTTCAGAGTACCCACCAGACACACGTTGAGCTGGCATGAGCCGCAGCTCTCCCATTTTGCTCTGATGCTGGGAATACATCTACTGCACGTTAAGAGCCCAGTTTCCTCCAGAACTTCTCATGTTGAAGCCTGGGTTCACTCCTGACAGTTGCACTGAAAGATGAGCTTAAGGCCCAGTAGACAGTACTAGGGTCAGTAGGAAAAGAAATAGGCTTTGTGGCAGCTGAAGGTCTGATGCCCAGGCTTTTCAGGAACTGTGGCATTCTCATGATGGGAAAAATGACATTCTGGGGGTCAGCAAACTCTACAGGAACTGGCTTTCTGCATTAACTCCCCTCAGTGCAGGTTTTGTCTCTGAAGCTCCTGTCCTGCCCTCATAACTTCATACCAGCTCTGGAAGCTCAGTCCAGACTACTGTAGGGGGAGAGCTCCTGCTGCCGAAATTCTCCTACAGGCTGCCTGTGGCCCGCTAGAGAGGATGAACGCTGGCAGGGCGTGCACAGGCCCCTCCATGGACAGCGCAGTCCCACTCATGACACCTTTCCACAGCTCCTTGAGCTCCTCATAGACATGTCCCATCTACTTCTCCTACCCTGCTACGATTCCCAGCACCTGCTTGTCACAGCTCCTCCGGTTCATCTCAAGCCACTTCTTTACACCCTTCAGGGTAATCCTTGCTTCTCTTTCAGGCAGCCTCGTGCCTCTTCTCTCCTCCTTTCCAGAGACATCCTCTCCTCCCACGATACACAAGTCACATCCTCCCCCTCCACCCAACCCTACAACTCTGGCCCATCTCTTGGCAGTCTGCCTTGCTGTGACTTTCCCTGTTCTCCTGCCCCTCCGCTACCCCATTTAACCTACTGTAGCTGGAAAGAGGTCATTCGCGTTACTATGAGTATTTCTTGCTATAAATACTCTCCCTCATTCACTCCTCTTCTCAGCAGGATAAAGCAAACCAAACAGACCTGGCATTTCTAGGCCAAGCCACTCACTCTCTGGAGGTGCCGAGCCAGTGCTTTCAGCCCAAAGGAGCCCTGAGGGATTTTAAGCTTCCTGATATCCACCCAATGCTCAGTGTTTCAGGGCCTGGCTCCTCTTGGGCCAGATAATCAAGCCAGTAACGCGGAGTCAGCTGCAATTTGTGACAGCCGCTCTGCGCTTCTGGCTTATCCTCCTCAAAGTGAGACGGCCTCAGGGTAGCTGTGGGGCAGGGGAGCAGCCTACAGAGGCACCCTGCAGGCTGCCCAGCTCCAGCCATGGGGGCAGAGCCTAGCAGGGGGCTGCCAAGGGCCTGCCAGCCTGGTCCCTGCGTCCTGCAGCTGCTTCCCTACTGGGCCTGGCAGGGCTGGCCACTTACCCACATCCTGCTCATGTCACTCAGCTCGTTCTTGTACCTCACAGAGTCTTTCAGGACCTGGAAAAGGAATCAAGAATAAAATATCAGCAAGTGAGGGCAGCACATATAGCCAGCCATGCTCCTGCTAGCTCTGGGGGCAAAGCATACATGACTTTAAGCTAGCAAATAGGCTAAGAAATGGGGCTCCTGGAGGCATTCCCAACTCTGCAGAGAGCTTGCTCTCTCATTACAGGCAAGCCCCAGCCTCAGGATGCCTCAGAACCCTGCCAGCGTCCATCCCCCTCCCTATGCAGGGATGGGGAATCCTTTCTGATCTCTCTCATATGCACGTTATCTCTGCGAGCAGAGCAGGTTCCTCTGGCATCATCACTGCAGATGCACTGTCTGCATTGGGGAGTTATTCTGCATGACCTAGCTCAAAGTTTTTTGGAGGATAAACCCTTGCAAAGTTGTTCTTACTTTTAAAGGGCTTGAGGTTCTCCAGGTAAAATGGAAGAGGTGAAGGATGACTGGAATCAAAGTGCATGTAGATAACAGAGCAAAGGGGAAACAGGGGAAGAGGGCTGGGGGCAACCAGACATAAGTATAGAGCCAGCTCAGGGCGGGACCCTTGGGCTGGTCCCCGCAGAGGACTCCCTGCCTCTTTTCACCACTCGCAGCTATGGGAGGGCACCAATATGCTATCACTTCCCACTGCCCTGTGCTAACCCTGAGGGCAATAGATCCGGCCCTCTGATGGCTGCAGAGCTGAGCTCACAGCACCAAGAGGTGCCTGGGGCAGCAGTGCCAGAGCGCTGCTGCATGCAAGTTGGCTAGGAGACGCGTCAGGGAACAGGGACACTCAGATGCAGCACCGCTCTGCTCTGCCCTGCCTTGCTCTGCAGTGCCAACCCCAGTACCTAAAATTCAGGAAACAGGTCATGAATTTGAAGGGTAATGATGTACATGGGGTCTTTTCATGAACCTTTGGGGACGCAGGGCAGCACTTACATTCGAATGGCCGTCTCGGAGGAGTTTGTGGAAGACATGGCAGAACTTCCAGCAGAGCACAGCATTGCCGGAGAGCGGAAGCCGGTTCACGACTGACCAGAAGGTCTGCGCCCCCTTCTCGTGGTGCGTGCCCAGGATGCATGGTGAAAGGCTGGTCAAGGAAACACTCCCCTCTCAGGTCTGCGGGCCTGAGGTGATCTCCCGGAAACAATAGGCCAGACCGGCTGCTTCCTAACCACCCCACCTCAACAGGCCAGCAGCAGACAGGCAGCTCTCCCATGTAAAACAAGGGTCTCGTAAAGCATCTGTGCCCATCACCAGGGATTCAAGGGGAAAAGGCTCCTTCCTCCATGGGGAAAGATGATGGGTCCAGCTTGGTGCCAAACCCCTGCAGTGTCAGGCAGCTGAGCTGCAATGTTGAGCCCAGGTTCCCATCCAGCAGCAGGGAGCTCCGAGCCCACAGGAACCCTCTGTCTTTTCCCAGCGAGTACCAGGAGAGCTGGGCCATCACAGGGAGCTGAGAGGTTGCCAAGCCACAGCCTCCAGCCTGGGCACATGCTGTCCTGAAGGGTGGCACACGCTACCCCTCTCCTCCACATCCCTACTGCTGCCTGGGAGCATCACCTGCATGCTCCAGGCCAGGCTGCACTGGCACCTCCTGGCTGCCTTGCACATCTGCTGGAGGCCCATTTTTCAGGGTCAGCGAACAATTAAAAGCACTTTTGAGATTTAAGTGCCTTAGGCCCAGGCTAGACAGTCTGCTGACGGACATCAGTCCTTCTGGCTTTCCCATCACTGCTCCCACGGGATGGCAGCACTGTGGTGCGAGTGGCCAGTGCAGACCCACCAAGAAAAAGCACAGGTTGTAGCAGGAGGGAGCGCAAGGCACGTGCACTACTCAGCAGTGCTGCCCTGGGAAAAACCTCAGCCAAACAGAGACCCCCCTCGGGGCGCTGCGCAGGCTCCCCTGAGCGCCTGCCCTGGGAACGAGCTTGTCCCGCAGCAGCGTGCGGCAGGTTAGCTCAGCCGGGCAGCGTCAGCTCCGCCTGCACCTCTCCCCACGCACTGCCTCGCCTTGGCCCCTTTTCCGAGCAGCCCCAGCCAGCTCCCACGCTCGCTTGTCCTGCGGCCAACTTTCAGAAGGATATTTCTGGCGTGTTTCTCCTTGACAGCCACTTCCTGTGTATTAATAGCCTTATTGATGCTGACAGTCTGAAAAACAGAAGCGGGGAGGGGGGTGAGATGGGAAGGGCTTGGGCTCCAAGTCCCCTCTGCCTACACGGACACGGGTGCCTGGCTGTGCCGGCACCTGTCAGTGGCTGGGTCCAATCCAGGTCCCCAGCCCTCCAAGCGGCCGCTGTCCCACGCCAGCTGGACTCTACTCATTCCCGGATGCCTTTCTGGGATGTGCCTGGCATCTGGCAGGTTCAGCTGCTGCCAGGATTCATTTACTCAGTATAATAATGATGCAATTAAAGCACTGACCACAAAGGACTCTCTCCTGCCCGTGAAGCAGTGGGACAGGCAGAGGGAAGGCAGACCCCTCTCCTGACCCTAGATCATGGTCAGCAGCCCCTGCTCTGCTTTCTACAGTGGGCTGCCCGGAGTAGGGAGCTTTGGGGGGGAGGGGAGGGGGGGAAGGGAGAGGGAACGCCAAACGGGGATGGCCAAGTCCACTATGTGTGGTGCAGAGTGGAGAAGAACGGGGCTGGACGTGCTGTTTGGCAGCAAAGAACAGGACCCTGCTTAGCTGGTATCAATTGGTAGGCACTGGACAGAGAAATCAGAGCAGCTTTGCAAACGCTGCAAATATTGCTTTTGCAAACACTGGTGCTCCAGCCCCATCCGCCCCACAGCCCCGTGGCTGGAAGTGCCATGACAGTTTTGCCATGTGCCTGGTGGAAGAGGAGGGCAGGATGTGGAGCTGCCAGACAGTGCTTGACGTGGCAAGGGGCAGATGGACCCACTGGCACAGGGGGACACAGCTGTCCCTCCTAAGGTGCAGGTGGCATTCTGTCTCTGGTCCTGCAACTATCCCTTTTTTCTGCTGCGACCTCCCCTGCATCTAGCTCCGATTCACAAGTGTCTGTGTCAAGGTCCAGCTATGCTCCCATCCTTGCCTTCTCCCAAGCTTACCGCTTAGGAGGAACATCTGAACCTCGCTCATTTGAATGTGGTCCCTGGCACAAGAGGTCCTCACAGAGAGGAGCACCACTAGCAGCCTGATCCCGCTCAGAGACAACAAAAGCCTTCCTCTGGGGCAGTTGGATGCCAGGGTGAGGGCTGTGGGCAGCCTCTCCCCAGTGCAAACATACCCACAAAACCCTCCAGCTGCTCTTTTGCTCTTTGCCAGGAAAGGCATGTTTTGCAATGCAAATGCTGTGGACCTTGCGTAGCCCACATCGAGAAATGTGGGTGAAAGTAGAGCAAGAGAAGCCACTGCACTCAGCTTCAGCTGACAGAAAAGTTGCAATAGTTGGAAGCATTTTCCTTGTGGGATTTCAAGTGTTTTTTGACTCTAACCTATTTCTGCATCTCCCTTCTCAAGCACAGGACAGTGCTAGGAGGTACACCAGAGGCTGGGAGATGCATTAGCTGTTCCAGCCACCCAGCCTGCACAGGAGTGAACGTGCTCCTAGCCCCAGTGCCCTGTGAGCTGATACTGCTAGCAGTCACTACTCTGTTTAGGAAGTTGTTTGGTTTGAGCATTGCAATGCTGGCACGGAGACCCCTCTCACCAAGCTCGCACTCACCCTACTCGCAGCTACTTCTACCACTAGTTTGACACTTGTGATAACGTTGCTCTGCAAGGATCAACACTGTATTGATGAAAGAGAGAGGGCGGCTCAGCACAGTCAGAAGCAGTTAATTACTGACGCAAGCCAATTAAAGCAGTGGGATTAATTCCCATGCCTTATTCATTGACAGTCCTTCCTACATCTCAGCAACTCCCTTAATCTCCGAGATGATCCTGATACAGCTTCATCCCAACAGATGGTAGAGAGGAAGGCAGAAACCTCCAAGCAAAACTGACTCCTCTCCACTGCGCAGGAACGAGGAGGACACATAGGGCACCAGCTGCACACTCTGCATGTATAGCTGGGCACAGAAGGGCCCAGATTCCCCCAGCAAACACAGCGTTGAGCACTACCCATGTCCCAGCTTCCTGGAAAGTCCCTCTGCCCCCAATGGGCTTGCCATCTGGCATGGGGAAAATGTATTAAAGGCTGAGATAGCTTCTGTTCTAACCCACAACTACCAATTACAACACTGAGGGGAAATCAAGCATCCACTCTTTAGTCTAATGGAGATTTCTACGCCTGGTTTCTCAATGTCCCGGGACAGACTGGTCCTGCTTTGTGAGAAGGAAAACACTGCTACTTGCTCCAGCAGTGGACAACAGCACCAGGTGCTTCAGAGCACAATTAATCCATTTAGCCGTTTCATTGTTTCTTTAACCAACGTCCATATGGCACTGGCTCCGTTAGGAAGGATGCCTGCGACAGTCTCCAGCTGTGATGAGCTGCACACCATGCTCACCGTTGCATACCCTGTTGCTGGGAGGCCAATTTTCCTCATCGCGGAGATGCAGGTTCCTCATCAGTTAGATGCAGGGGGCTCATCTCAGGGTGGCAGGGCATCAGAGAGAGATGCAAGTTTGCCTGCCGGAAGGCAGGGGCACCCTGCTCCAGACAAAATGAAATGAGGTCTGGACACAGACCAGACCCTGCCACTTAGCCCAGCCTTAACGAGAGCTAGAAGAAACCCTGCAGGGTCCAGCAATGGAGGAACCCAATCACAGCACGTCTCCTCACAACCTGCTGGGTGGAGGTCATCAGATTCTTTATGCAGGAAGGTTAAGGATGGGAGCCACCTCTCCAGTTCTGCCCTTCCTCATGCATACAACTGTTGGGTTTTTTTTTGACATAAATAACAAAGGAAAAAAGAAAAAAAAGAAGAGAAATTCAGCATTATGCTCATTTTCCTCTTACAAAAATCTAAAGAACAACAAAATCCTCAGAAAGGAGTCTCTGTGGCAGCAGTTGCCACCTGGAACATGTTGCCCACACCCCATAGCCCTACATCCCAATAGCAGTAGGTGGTGCCTGGTGAGGAGTGGGTTATTAAGCGTGGCTTGTCATTGTCCTAAACTCAGGTCTACAAACATGAAGGCGCACTGAGACAGGACACCCAAGATGGACCATTTGGCACTGGAAGAAGCAACCTTGCTCCCTCTGGTTCTCAGTCCCATCTCTCTCTCAGGAGCTCCTCTGAGCTCCCCCCGTGAAAGCCATGCACTTCTCGTAAGGTTAGTTTTTTGCTAGCTCAGCCGGGGGTCAGAGGAGCGGGAACACAGGGCTGGAGTGAGAGGAAGCAATAGGACTTCCCTGAACTATCAGACTGGCTCAGCCCATCCCATCCGACTTCATCCTGGAGAGAGTCTAGCGGAGGGCTACAAAGATGATTAAGGGACTGGAGCCTCTCTCCTCTGAAGAAAGACTGCAAGAGCTGGGCCTGTTCAGCCTGGAGAAGATGGAGAGGTAATCTGATCAATGTGAACAAGTATCTGAAGGGGGAGTGTCAAGAGGATGAGGCCAGACTCTTCTCCGTGGTGCCCAGCAACAGGACAAGAGGCAACGGGCACAAACTGAACCACAGGAAGTTCCACCTAAACCTAAGAAAAAACTTCTTGACTGGGAGGGTGACAGAGCACTGGAAGAGGTTGCCCAGAGAGGTAGTGGAGTCTCCTTCCCTGGAGATATTCAAAAGCCGTCTGGATGTGATCCTGGGCACTATGCTCTAGAGGCCCCTGCTTGAGCAGGGGGGGTGGACTAGATGATCTCCAGAGGACCCTTCCAACCTAAACGATTCTGTGATCCTCAAATGTCAGTGTGAGCTAACTGCCCTATGCTTCCTTTACTAAAAGCATGTCAAGCGTTTAAACACAACTCTAGATACCTAAATGCTTATCTGGGGATACCTAGATAAAAACATGGCTTTATTTGCTGTGTGCCGCTGTGTGGTTTTTGCTTGGACAGAGGTGATTGCAGCTGCAAGGAGGGCACTAAAAAAGCAAGTCTCAATGCAAAAAGTGAATAGGCAGACTGCATGATGGGAGGGGTGCAAGAAGAGAGCTACTGAGCCTCATGAGAAAGTGGTCTGGCGGGTTTTTGACTTACTTTTCCCCCACGTAACCTCAAACAGAGCTGAGAAAAAGCCACAGAAGTTTTGGACCAAAGGTGATAAACTAAATGAAAGCACGGATCCTGCAAGTGAAATCTCAAAGCTTATTAAAGTCTAGATGACAGCGCCGTTCTTGCTAAGGTGTCAGCTTCAGCAAGCACGTTTCTGCTATCCCCGTCCTTTAAGCTTTGGGCCAAACGCTCCCCGAATCCTGCCGTCTGATTCCACAGAGGGAATTATGCCTAGGGGTTGCTGGGAGAACCAGAAGTGCTTGCTTTATGCAGTCTCTAACAAAGAGGGATTAAAGAGGGCTGCTGCAGAGCCAGCAGCGAGTTAAGGAGTGATTCCTGGAGAGCGCCCTGCTGCCTCAAAGGGCTCCGGGGGACCAAAGCTGCCGGCACAGCTGAGCGAAACAGCGTCACTTTGAAATCCTTCTGCTCGGCGCAGCTGCACCCAGTGAATGCAGCCTCTGCGGCGAGTGAAAGCCTCGGGGCACAGGGAACCTCATTTTCTCACCTCCAGGGGAGTGCAAGAGCCCCGCTCTTTCCCGGAAGGTTAGGGAAGAATATGTACGGGACTGCACATTCCTAGGGCCAAGGGCTTCCTGAAGCCGCGAGGGGCTGGGACCTTTCAGCACGCAGCTGAAAGAGCAGCATTGTAAAGCGCTTCCTGCTTCAGCGGCTCTCTCCGAGGCTGGTTCCGGAGAGGCAATTATCAGCGGCAGCACACAGGAAGGCGAGCTTTATCCCGCCGCCCCCCCCCCCCCCCCGGAACCAGAGTCGCCACCAGGCTGCACGGCAGCCAAGGCAAACGTTGAATGCATTTCCAGAGAGATGCGGGGCACGGGAAGCGCCCGCGAAGGGAGTCCCGCGCAGCCCCTCGGTCGCGGCCCTAGGTGGGTACCGCTGCCTAGGGGACGCCGGCCTCACGTGGCACCTTGGCTGGCAAGAATGCCCTTTAGAAAAGCTGGGAATTAAGTTCCAAGTTGAAAATGTCATTTCCTACTGACCCTTCCTGGTGAACTGAGGACAGTTTTTTTCTTTCCAAACCGCTCCTCTCACAGATTAGCACGATGGGGCCGTCAGCACAAGCTATCCGATCCAAGGAGACATCCTTCGCTTCCCAGCCTGCAGAGGAAGCGGAGGTTCTTGCTCTCGCCAGATTTCCCAAGAAATCCTCCCAGAGGAGGAAAACATAGTGGGGGAAAGGTAGCAGGGATAAGCAGCCTTCAACG